TATCATGGATATCAATTTCATTATGATTAGAAAACTGTTAAGAAATACGTCGATTGCTTCATTTTTCGTCTCTTTTGTCTTCATTGAATTTGTAAAATAATCATACAGTCGAAGATGAACAATGTTTAAAGATAAGGATTATTAATTGGCTCATTTTTTTGATGTATTTGTTATGGACAGATTTTTTATACTGACATGACTGCATAAGTATATTACTTAATTAATATCACTATGATTGATTTACTGTTAACTTTTCGGTGAACATTTTCCGAGCGATTTGCAATTTATGAGATCAGCTAACAAAATCAATTCAACTAACTAGCACAAAAAATCAAATAATAGTGCCATTAATGATGGATCATTTCAGGTAATAGTAACATATTGTCTTACAGGAATGATGAGAAATTGATGACATGAGTCATCAAGGAATTTGTCAGGTGATTTGGAAGTTGCGCCGGACAATACTATTTCAAATACCGCATTAGCTAACTCTTTTGTTACAGCTGAGATATTTTTTGAAATTTTCAAAAATAATATATCAAAATTTTTATATTATCGGTCGGAACAGTTATCCGATCAACGAGATTTATACATTTATAGTTATCAACTGGATCCATTCAAAGCCTCTGGAAGATGAAATTTGAAGTTCTGATTTTAAAAGACAAAATATGCTTTTATTGATTTATTAATTTAAATATTAATAATATTTAGAAATTAGTTGTCGATCGATTTTGCAATTTTGTAAAATGACGTTGGAATCATTATAAAACAAAGATCTATTATTGTTCACTGGAATAACTTAGATAATGAATCACATTACGATGAAATCGTCGGATGAATCCAATTTGAATTCCAATACTTTCGACTAGATTTAATTTATTTAGTTGACTAATAGTTATAAAATACTCATTCACTTTATAAATTACTTATTAAATATTTAATTAAAATTTTCCTTTAGAAATCAAATTGATTTGAAATATAAGCAAATAATTTATAATTTGCTTTCGCAGTTGAATTAAAAGTCATTCCTTTTTATCGTAGAAAATGCCTAAGATTTTTTATTATGTATTTATGCAACGAATAAATATTTTTTAATGAAAGAAATAGATGTGACAGTATCCTCAACTTTTAAGATTTTAATTTTTAAAATATGCAATAGTTAAATATGCAATATGTGACAAATAAAAATATATATTATCGCTAACAAACAGTCTTTTTAATGAAAGCGAATAAAATTCATTTTTGAATAAGTTGAATTTATTCAATAATTGTAATAATTAACGCATGTATCTTTATAATGTCAACAATCGCATTAAGTAGGAAACGAGAATAGATGATGATGTCGAAGTGATAATAATCGGGAATAATTTCTTCTCATGAAAGATAATGAAGAAATTGTTCAATTGAAACTCCAAATTAAGTTATTCATGTAGAATTGATTAAAGCTTTTAAAAAGGGCAATGAAATTGATTGGTTCATAATTTTAAATTTCATAGCAAAGAGTAACAGCTAGCTGTTTGGTGTTCCATTTTTGTTTTCCCATCCATCGAAATAAAGCACTGGAAGAAGATGAAACAAAAGTACTTTCTTTTTTTGCCAGATAAAAACTGGACGGATTATATATCGCATAAGAGATTTACAATTTTCTGAATTAACACAATTTGCGGATATTTGCATAAAATAGCAAAAATATACTCTCAACTTATTAAATTGAAATATTACACATTTCCATTCAATAAGATGCAATACGCAGATTCCTGTATCATTCCGACAAATATTTTTGCATTAAATGGAAAATTCCGTGATACTTTAATATCATTGCTTTTGCTTTTCTAAACGAAACATCATTTTAGCTGAATGAACGATAGTTTTGTTTTTAATGTAAGTAATTATTTTCTGGTAAAATGTGAGCATGCGTTTTGCTCAGATCCCGGCTTCTTCTGTTGTAAGATTAAAATTCAACTTCAACTTTATTACATGATTAGTTACCTTCTAAAATATAATATGAACGTGATTAGTTACTTTCTAAAATATAATATGGATGATGCATCGAGAATTCATTTCATGAACTAGGCATTTCAATTTCTAATTAATGAATTCCTATAATCAAAATAGCTTTGAGGTATTTTTTGATAAATCTATTGACTTAAGTATTAGATATTTGTTAATGAAATTGTGATGATCTGTGTAGTGGTGATTAGTTACTTTCTAAATCAATTACTTTCGATAGTAACAATTTGGTGCAAAAATTACTAAAATTACTATTTATATTTTATATTTTACATATAAATCTAACGCCTTTAAATCGAAGAATCAGGATTATCATATTAGTGACAAATACTACTTTCATCAACTAAATTTAACGTTATCCTTCACTTCATGTTTTGATATGATAAAACAATACATATATAAAAACGTAGGAAGTTTACTGTAAATAAAAAAATTTCCGCTCAAAAACTTATGGCAACACATTTGTTCAGCAGCTTTAAGGAACAAAAGAAGCCTGATAGTGATAGTGTACTTTGCAACGGCTGATAATTTTATAATTATTCTTTTCATACTGTATTTAACATTCGCGAAAGTGAAGAATGAATTTTTCAAATATTTCACCTAAATTTAATATTTATTTTGCACAGCAACGGTTGGTTACTGCTACTTTTATAATTGATGTAATTAATTAATATATTACGAAATTGTTTATTTTCATAGAAGAAAGCAAATTATATTTATTTATCTTTTATTTAATTTCTCGTAGAAATATTTATTCTTCACACTACTACTGAAATAATAGTAGCCATTGCATTTAATCTTTCACCTTTCATTGATTGCATTCTATTTCTGACAACAATTAACGTATAATTATAATTTCCCTTTTCACATCATACTGTTCTATTACAACATTAAGATTAACAATAGTCGGCTAACATTCTAATTACTACTCTATCGGTTTAGTTTATCATTTATTTGACCTATTAATTCAATGGCTTAAAGCATTCCATTAATTTTAAATCATTCCATTAATTTTAGAAAATAAGCCATAACATATAATAATAGAAAATATGAATAAGTAATGAGTGCAGAATGAACAAATAAATTGCAAACATAAATGGAATAAACATTTGCATTTCTTTGTAATGCTAAATAAAATTTGGAAACTTCGAAAATTCCAAGAACGCTAAATCTTACTTGCAATTTAATGAATTTGGAAATATTTTGAGAATCTTTTAAAACTCAAATTTTGGGAGTTTGAAATTTTGAATGCCAAAAAAAAGTTGTCTAATCCTTCCCTTAAATAAAAATTCCCTTTTCTGTTAAACTTTTCCAAATCTGTCAGACGGACTTTGATAATTCTTTAAATCCATTGATAAAACATATCCAATGTCACGAAAATTTGAATAAAATCTAAGTCAAGATTTCGGATTTTATTTAACTGCCTATCAATCTCATTCCTGAAAATTTTCATTTCTATCTTTTGGAAACAATATCCTTTTAAGTAATATGCCATCTGGCTTATCAATCAGTTTTTGCAATTCTGATAAAACCTCTAATGCCTTTCTTTCGGAAATTATCAGGAAGAAATAAAGAAGAATTTTAGCAAGTTGAATAAATAATTTCTGTTTGATTGAATAACTTAAAGTGAAATTCTGTACATACATATACATTTTTTCTCTTCATCTATTTCGATGTAAAATAGCAATATTTATTACAGTTAATTTAGCTAAAAATCAATCTTCGAATTTAAAAATTCTTATTTAACAGTTTTTTACACTGCTAAGAACATACTAATGGATATGAAGTGGAGAGCAGAGCCTAAGAATTTCGTCAAATAGATACAAGAAGCATTTTAAAAATACACAGAATTTTCCCAAGTAGAAAAAATATTGACTGTATCTTTAATAGCTCAATTACAAACTTAATCCAACTTATAAATTTGTATTGCTTATTCACTCAATAATAATTAGATTCTTCAACTATTAGATTTAATTCCATTGTTTTTACTCCTTATAGAAAAAGAAATAAATCTCTGTTGTTCCCAAGAAACCGATTATGTCTACTACACATGTTGCAACAACAGTGTTATCAATGCTGGCGAATACGGGCTGTGTAATTTCGATCTTCCAGTTTTCCATTTCCAAATGGTATTTCGAATCTGTTTGAAATAAACTATAACAAGGGATAACATGTACAATATGAAAGCATCCGAAATAATCTATCTTAACGTCATGATTCAAGTCTTTTCAAACAAACAATGATCTTTAAATTACCCAAAATTATTTCTCAAATAGGTAGGTGAAAGGCCTTTTCCAAGTTCATTTCATTCAATCAGCTCACTAGTCGTTTTCTCGGTATTTGCACCTTCAAAATTAAAAGAGAAAAAATATAATCCCAGGTTTGTCATGTTTGCATTGACTGCTTTCATACTGAGTGTTTCTCTTGAATTTTGCTTCCAGTCCCGCTAACTACCATGATTAGTGCGTAAATTAGGCGGAAAAAACGGAATCACATAGAAGTTTCCCAGTTCAATTAATAGGCATCGAAACTTTTCCAGTTCAATTAATAGTAAACAGTTTAACAGATTTGTATGGATGTCAGGACGAGGAAAATGAAATAAGACAAACTTGCGCACATTATTTCTATTCACAATTGTGTGCTAGTCCAATTTCACTATATGAATAAAATGACGAAGATAAACAAATAAAGAGGACAAGAAGAATTTAACAAGACGACATGAAGCAATTTCCTTTCATATTTGGAAAAATAACCGTGCATGAAAATTCAAGAACTTTAGAACTCGAAATCTAAAAAAACCAAACTCATTCTAAAAAATATGTTATTGATAAACAAGAAAAAAGAACAAGATCAACATTTTCTTCTTTCTATATATTTTGAATGAATAAAGCAAATGCATCAATCAACCAAGTAACAATTTCCATATAAAGTTATGAATTCCACCGCAAGAAAAAATGGAGCTAGAAAATTTATCAGAAAAAGAACATATTTCATGATAAGAAATCACTGAAATTTGTATTTTGTAATATGTCATCAAATGAATTGGGCAACAGTGACTGCTGCTGCTGTCCCAAATAATAACCACGTACTGTTGATTCCTAAAAATTCAATAGGTCAAAAGAGTTTGTGCCTTATACATCCATTTGAAATACTAATAAGTAGAGCACAGCAACACATGAAATTACTTTTATGAACTAACAGGTATGGATTAAGCATTCGAAGCTTTGGACAATGTTACTGTTCAACATTACTTGCTCTTATTCGAAATGACTACTTCTCGATGGATACTTGAAATTTATGAAGACGATTAATTTATCATTTTGCATTAGTCTGATAATTATAACACTGAATAATTAAGCAGATTGAAGACTTTTTGTGTTTTTCGTATTTTGGTTGTAAAACTCAGTTTCAACTAATTATGCTTACTGGTTCTTGCTTATTATTATATTCATCTATTTGTTGCTTTATTGTTTGCAATTTTTCTAAAATCATTCAAAAATCAGAGCTTGATCAGAAAATCTTAAGAGATAGAAATCATACCCAAGTTTCAAGGAAATCTGTCACCGTTCGCAGACCTGGTCGAGCTAAACGTTCATGTATTACATTTTGCAAATCATCGAAGAAAAACGAATCTAAATAAGCAGAATTTGATTTTTTCCAAATAACGAAGTCAAGCAAGATCACTGCGAAAATGAAAATCAAACCACCCAATCAGTGAGTTTTAGTGAAAAGAAATTTACTTCGTCTTAAAGAGATAGCATTAAAGTATCCCATTTAGTTCTTGAATATTTTTTCGAAGAGCTAATTAAAATTTAGTCATGAATTTCGATTTGAATTTTTTTCCGAAAATAAAATTACTTACGCCAAAAGCATTGCAGCGATAAAGTGACAAACCTAAATCTAGAGCAGCACGACCCACCAGGACTTCACCATTAGGATATGTTTTCGGTATAATTAACTGCAGCGGTGGCACATTATGTGAGGCTTAAAAAGAATTATTACCGGATTCAACTGTTTAGATTTTGAAGTTGCAAAAATTATTTTTCTGAAAACTTTTACGAAATCACTCTGAAAACTTGCACTGAATCGCTTCCTATAAGTCTCCTCGATTCAGTCAAAATATAATAATTAAAAATGTCGTCATATTTCTACAATCAAATTAAGAAAACTTACTTAATGAAAATTTAACAATAACAGAATGTGAATCAGTTATTTGTTCGGTATTAGATTCAGCTAAAAAACGATCTCCAAATGCTAGCAATTCTTGACGTACTGCCTCCGGCAATTGACCTTCTACCTGCAACAAGAAAAACAAATTTTTTCTTTTAAACTTAAAATAATTCCAAATATACCAAATTGGCAGTGCATTTTTAAGCAACATATACTGCTATTTTGCACAGTCCACAATTCATTAATATTATGATTGATAAAAATTCCATTTGCTTTAAAAATGTGTTAAATATATGACTCAATCTCAAAGTCAACCTGTGATGATGTGCTACTCGGTACTGCTTCTATAGGAGTTGGCAAGAAATCGTCCATTACATAGAGATCTTCAACTCCTCCGCAATCGGTTGTTGATGCACAATTTGCTTCTGAGAATGGTGGTAACGTTGCTGTCACTGCTGTTGCTTGCTGCTGAAGACTTTGAAATTATGACATATTTTTATCATATTATGATATATTTTTTAAGAATCTTATACATTTTTAATCTCATGAAATTTAATACACGCTTTGTGACACATTTGAATTTTTATAAATTAAAAATGTGCAAAATTATGGAAAAAAAATCAAATAAATTATTAAAATTGATCTCTCCTGAAACAAAAATATAACCAGATATATTATTGGAAGATTAAAATTTCAACAATGTCTTAAACGCCCATAATATCACTAAGAAAATGTAGAAATATATTTAAATTCTGGATAACTGGTACTTAATGCGCAGAAAATGGAAATTCGTTTTGCTTAAGAATTGAAAAGAATATAAAAATACTAACCCTGGATAAACCATGATGTAGCACCACTGACTGAGCTTGTGTGCCGGAACGTAGTCCGACATTTGGATTTGGATAGGGTGAATGTCGTTGATAAGTATGCTCTACTGAATGTCGTGCAACCTGTTGACCACTAGTTGTTTGCAACGGCATTGATGACTGCATCAGACTATTTCGCGCTGGACAAAGAGCTACTGGGACTGATGATGATACCATAGTAGGTAACATTTGGGGTGATGCTTGCTGTTGTTGTTGTGATCGACTAGATGGCAACGACCAGTGTACTGCGGATGGTGCACCAGTATTCGTTTGTGCACGATCACCGTATCCAACCTGTGTTTCGCTATTTAATAAAACCGCATTTACTGCATCCACCAGTGGCTGTGGTTGTAATGTTCCAGCATTCAATGAAGCTTGCTAAAAAAGTTTTGTTAAATCATCTAATTTTATAATTCGACATTTTAAAACAGCAGCCTCCTCTGAAAAACTACAATTAAAAAGTCACTGAAGTACTTGTAGAAAAACAGAATCTTCTAATAATTTTTGAGCATGCAAAGCTTAACGTTATACTAACCGATTGATTAGTTTTAACTTTAAGCTTGCGGTCTTCATGAACTCTACTTCCTCTACGGTAATGTTGCTAGCACGTTTCGCTTTTCCAACGTAAAATACAGATGTTTAAATAAAATACATATTACTTACCAGAAACTGTTGCTTTTTGTATATCCATGCTTCTATTTGCAAAAGATATTCAAATGATACCAGTCTGCAAATGATAATATAATAATAAAAGCTGTGTTGAGGTAAGAGAACTTAGCAGAAGTGCTTCTTATTAATCTGAATTTAATTATTACTTTTAGTCACAGTTTATAAACATATAAGGAAACTTGAGCAAAGATAAAGCCGAAATGAACAATATTGCTTCATTTCCCAAAGTATATGGATGAACCATGAATTCAAAGAAAAAATTGCTCAAACCGCAATTCAAGCATTCAAACCGTAACTAAGCACTTACACGAATTAAACAAGTATATCCTTTTATGTTGATTGTAACTTTTAAATTTCAAATGAAACTTTAAACACTAGCACACATACGATTTGCCATCAAGAACGTTGCACATTGTATCAAATTTACTTGCAGCAATTTCATTGCCTTCCAGTCGACACTGCTGTGCACGTGCTCGTAAACTTTCAACATAAGGCCTTAATGAGCGTAACTTCTCGGTATACATACGCTGCAATAATAGATTAACTGACATCAGAATGATAATCTTATTGCAAAAAAGACTAATTTTAACAAAATTCTAAAAAAGCAATTTGGTTAATAAAGTGACATTAAAATGACGATAGATTTATGAGAGTTTTAAATTTTTATAACCGCATATGCAGTTATTTGGAAAAATAACTATGAGCCATTTAGATGGAAATTTCACATAAGTTATACTCGATTAATCCAAC